TCACATTTCGTTAATGGGCTCTGTTTTAAATGAGTTTCTTTCTCTAAGTAATGCTCGATTTGTTCAAAAGCTACTTAAAATCCCTTTAACCTCAAATGTATGACTATGTATTAATGCCACTCTTATTTATGGCAACACATGTAAAGAGACAGAAATATTTCATCTCATTCTTTCTTTTCTGTATACTCCCCCAAAGGGACCTAATTTTGTTTCTTTAACACAAAGTGACAATTTTTGATACAGGTTTATTTAATTTTTAAAAATTACTTTGAACAATCAAACATGAACATTAATGAGAAACACATGTGCTGTTCCAAATAGTCTAGAAATGAATGCAAAGCAAGGCTCCCCATCAATCCAGGGTCGGAGTCAAGTTTCCTGGCCTGCTTGTGCCTATGAGAAATCAGAGAACAGGAGAGAGTGTAGGTGTGCAACTGTTCACAACTGTGTGTGGGGAGTGCGTGCTGTGGAAGGCCCGCTGGGGCTGCAGCTTCCATCCACCTAGAGAAGCAATCTCTTACATGCAGCAAGGTGCAGTCCAGGATATTAACACTCCACCATTTCCAACAGCCTCCGTTCACACCAGCTCCAGAGTAAACATCATGAAAGAAGGAGCCTTGGAGCTGCTGAAAAGCACACAAAGCAACAAGGCAAAACAGTTTCAAATCTCATAAAAACGGAAAATGTTTCAAGAACAACTGCTCATTTGTTCAGAAAGTGCCCACAGAGCAGGAGGGTAAATAAAACACAGAACCTGTTAGATTTACAAGCAAATAACCATTATCTACTATGTGCAGATGAGTGGAGGATAATTTTATGCAAACCACAATAAGTAAACTCAGAGAGTATGAACTAAGCCTGCACAGTAGAATCAGGAAATTCACGAGGAAAAAAAAAATAAGGAAATGGCATTTTCTATATGGTGTTATCACCAACCTGGGAAATCCATTAGTGAGCCAAAACCTGGAATAGGATTTTATAAAGGAACTGGCCTGAAACAGAATCCCTTAGGTCTTGTGTGGTGACTTCATACCTAAAGCCAAACTCCACTCCCCGAGATCTAATTACAAATTGGTCTCCTGTAGAAGATTATAGGAAATTAATAAATTGAAGTTTTTACATTACAGGGCACACAGAATAAATTCCTTGGGAGCCTTCATGGTGTAATCAATTTTTGAATAAATAACTTTCAGTCGAGTATTATCAGAAGTCAAGCACCCTGACTAATGGAGCTTAGGATTTTATGAACTTGAATCTCAGAGCTAAACAGTTCAGTGGTTTTAAAATATTTTTTCCCCAAAACAGAGCATTTTACTTTGGCCAAGTTCAAAATATCTTTAAATTCTATGGATTTTTTTTATATTTGACAGTAAAATAGGTTTTTTTTCAGTTTCCTATTTTATTTACTTTTTATCAGATGTGGTTTCCTGGGTGGTAGTGGAAGAGGAAAAAAGAAAACACTTGAAGGGTTATATAAAATGCTTGTAAATGTATCCATTAAATTAAGAGCATCGATTGACTTCTATCAAGTTATGTTTTGGTAGTTTTGGGTGTCAAACAATCTGACATTTGTGCTCTATTTTTTTTAATAGAGAGATAGATAGATAGATAGATAGATAGAGAGAGAGAGAGAGAGAGAGAGAGAGAGAGAGAGAACTTTAATATTTATTTTTTAGTTTGCAGTGGACACAACATCTTTATTTTTGTGTTGCTGAGGATCGAACCGCTCGCATGCCAGGCGAGAGCGCTACCACTTGAGCCGCATCCCCAGCCCTGTGCTCTATTTTTAAAAGCCTCTGAGCTTCAAAACAGGATAAAATGTGCTTAGAACAAGATGGGTGTGGCTTTTAGTGAAATTTTATTTAAACAGTTTTGTTGAATTCAAAGCTATAGTCAGTTCACCTTATGGAGCAGAAGTACAGCACTAATGAGTCTGCAGAGGCTTTGAAGGCAGAAATACCTGGTTGGAATGTGAATTCTAAAGAAAGGGCGCAAGATTGGATGTTGAACAACCAGAAGGGAAGGAGGAGAAGAGGAAAGGGAGACAAGCAGGAAGGAAAGAGCAGCATTCATGGTTTCTTTGTCCCAGGCATCAATCAGGGTACTTTCACACACATTTGTCTTCAACCACAACCTCCAAGAACTGCTGAAGGGCACAGGCTTGGACACCCAGCACAGGAGGAACCCAAAGCACAGTAGAGAGGAAGGGAGGAACAGGCAAGGCTGGGAAATCGTGGAAAAAAAGATGCTGTGCTTTAAATGATTGTTTGCAAAGAGCAGAAGGAGGTGGGTCTGTGACGTTAGAAAAGCTACTGCTTTCCCAAAGCTTATTGAAGTTAATTTTACAAAAAATGAACAACAAAGTCTATCAAGGTGAAATCTCAAGCACAATGAAATCATGGGAGGGGGGTAGACCACAGTGTGTAATATCAAAGGAACTCAAACTAGTAATAAAATGATACAAAAATATGAAAGAATAACATTAATCAAAGTGGAAAGTTCAGAAGCAAGCTGAGGCAACTCAAGAAAGAATTATAAATATAAAATTATTTTAAAATGTAACCTTGGCTAGAGATGTAACTCAGTGGCAGAATACTAGCCTAGGGTATGGGAGGCCCTGAGTTCAGTGACAAGCACCACAAAAATTAATTAGTTAATCTAATTAAATAAATAAAAATGTAACCTAGCTATGAATAATCATGTGCCAATTAGTAGGAAAACTCAGGGAAAAAAAATAGAACCTGGACACATATAACCTACCAAAATTGAATTCTATCTCCATTGAGATAGAATACCTGAACAGACCATGAGCTGTGAGATTGAAACAGTGATAAAAAGAAAAAAAGAATTCTCCCACAAAAGAAAATTCCAGGATGTGATGGTTTTGTTGATAAATTCTAATGAGCCATTTAAGAAAAACGAATACCAATTCTCAAACTATTTCAAAACTTGTAAAGGAGGGAGCTCTACCAAACTCATTCTTCATTCTTCAAGACCAACATTACCCTGATAATTAAAACAAGACAAGAACACAACAAACAAGAAAAAAAAAGGAGAAAGAAAGAAAACTGCAGACCAGTATCCCTGATGTTAAGTGAAATAAGTCAGAAAGACAAGTACTGCATGTTCTCACTCATTTTGGAAGTTCAATAGAGGTGACCACCTAGAAAGAGAGTATAACAGAGGTCACTAGAATAGAAGTCAGTAGAGGCTAGGAAGGGTAGGGAGAAGGGGGTTTGGTAAGAGTAGACAGTGGGTACCAAAGTACAATATGGGGGGAGTAGTTATAATATTCTATTGCATCTAGCACCATAGGATAACTGTAGTCTAAAACAGTTAATTATGCATTTAGAAATAACTAGAGGAGAAGGATTTAAAGTTTCCCAACACATACAAGTGATAACATATGAGGATATGGAATTATTAATTGCCATGATATTATCTCACACATTATATACAAGTATTGAATAACCGTACCACATAAATACTGTATCCCATAAATAAGTACAAATGTCAATCTAAAATAAAAAAATGAAATTAAAAGTAACCTATACTGTTGAGAGCCATAGCCAGAAGGGGCCCCAGCAAACTTCCAGCTGCCAGCAAACTTCCAGCTGCCAGCTGATGATTGGCTCACAGCGGCCCCAGCAACTTCTAGCTGCCAACTGATTGGCTCCTCTGCGGTGATGCTCATTGGGCTGTTTCCCTGCCCTTTCAGATCATGGAGCTTCTCATTGGGGGACTTTTTTGGCTCCACCCATGCGACCCAGCCAATTGGCCTCAAGAGCAGGAGGAGTGGGGAAGGTTGAGAGGCTTGTGGGAAGCCGGTGGTGGCAGTTGGGCTCTGAAGGTTTTTCCTGAGGAGCTGTTTTGTTTGGCTTGTGTGGTTCTAAAAATAAAGTTCGTTTCTTTTGACAAGTGGCTCCTGAATTGTGCCCAGCCAGACTGCGGCACTATACTAGCCTACATGAGTGAATACATACAAAAATAATGTATTAAAAATAGAAAGTCAAAATAAGAAAAAATTAACATAAAGAAATGAAGAAACATGGAAAAATTAAAAGAAAACAACAATGAAGATAGGGAAAAATTACAAAATTGGTTCTGTTTCCAAATATGCAGTCATTTCTAGAATATACTTGCTGTCTACACAAGGAAGGAAGGAAAGGGAGGGGGGAAAGAAAGTGAGTTGGGAAGAAAGAAGAAACCAATAGGGAAGAGAAGGGAAAAAGAATTAAAGCTCTCAGTTTTATTCTTCTGAACAGTGCCTAACTAATGATTCTCCAGTGCCTCCTCCTTGGTTTCTATAGAGACATGTTATAGCTCAACCACTGAATGTATTACTTTGAATTTTGTTTATTTGTTCACTTTGTGTGTATCTCTATTGGATTTAGATATAATTTTTCAAGTAAGAAATTTGTTTATTCCTTCTTGCATACCCAAGTCTATTGCAATGTCTTCTCATAAGTTTTGGTTACATTAATAAATGCAGCTCATCTAGTTGGATACACTTGGAGCCTCTTCCTCCATTCTTCACCATGCCATGTACATTTCTCCAACATACACATGTATAAATGCATAAGTTGCTATGCTATCTTGCAAGGAACTCCCACCTGAACTTGTATGTATAATTTCACATATATGAATTAACAAACAAGTGTATGTAACTAACTAAACACACACTTAGCTTATACATTCATTTGACTGTATGCCTTTAAGGATCATCAGGTTGGCATATCACACAATTATTTCTCAAAGTACTATTCAGACTGGAAGAGAATCTGGAGGAGAAAAGCATAGGATTCATTACTCATTATCCTAATAATCACTACCCTCCTGATCCTGAGCCTTGGAAAAACCCAGTGATGTCATAGTTCTTTTCTTATGTCATATAGGTTGTTAATAGAGATGAGATTGTATATTGAAGGTTCCAAGAAGAGATTGTATATTAAAGGTTCCTTGCAACTAAAATCTCCTTTTGCATTTTTAGATTTAAGATGTGCAACAGGAGCTCAAAGTAATTTGAAAAGTGGGAAGATGGCTGCATTAATAGCCAGTGGACGTGGACTCTTTGGACCACAGTGGCCATTTGATGATGTCCCAAAGGCAGTAACAAGGTAAGAAAAAATTTTTCTATAGACTGTTGAAATAAATCAGGATGAAAATTTAAAAGCAGGATATTTGGACTATTGAATACTTAATTCTGACATGTCTGTTTTCTGTTGCTATGTGGATAAAATGCAGAACATGCTAAGTAATGGTGCTGAAAGTGATGATTTTTTCCACATATGAACTTTCCTGTATTTTAATTTTCCTGGATTTTAATCCTTCCATGGCTCCCCATACCTGCAGGAAAGATCCAAATATCATATTTTCCTATAGCAGATTCTATATGGTTATACCCCTGATGGCTTTTCCAAATTTTTTTTCACTCAGTCCTAAATCCTTCTCTAAGACTACACCATGATATTTCAGGCTTTGTGTCCTTGCATGTACTTTCTCTCTCTCTAGAACATTCCTGTTATGTGTTCTTTAAACAAACTTTGTCCACTAAGAATCCCACTCTGAGCCTCTTTTCCTCAAGATGAGCATATTTAACCCTCTTTGGGGCCAGAATTCTACTTGTGTCATGATGTTATTATGTCCTGCCTCAATACCTGACAACTATGTGTTCCCGGAAGGTAGCAACTATGCTTCATATAGCAGCAATTGTTACTTATTGAACAATTTACTCTGTGCCTAGCACTGTGATTGGAAATATAATTAGAAACAAAATCATGTCCATAAAGTACAATGTATGCGGTAGAAGAATAGAGAAGGCACTTTACTAAGTCTGGAGCTTGGAGAAAGCTTCTAGGAGAAAGAGTTTTGCTTAGAGGAACAACCTTCAGTATTAACACAGGCTCCCTGGGGATGGAGACCAGGGCCTGGAGCCAGCTAGGCCAGTGCCTCAAGGCGAGCCACATCTCTAGCCCTTTTAGACTTTTTTTTTTTTTTTAAGAGAGAGAGAATTTTTTTAATATTTATTTTTTAGTTTTCGTGGACGCAACATGTTTATTTTATTTTTATGTGGTGCTGAGGATCGAACCCAGCACCCCGAGCATGCCAGGCGAGCGCGCTACCGCTTGAGCCACATCCCCAGCTCCCCTTTTAGGCTTTTTGAGAGGGTATCTCTGTAAATTGCTCAGGCTGTCCTCAAATTAATAATCCTCTGGCTTCAGTTCCTGAGTAGTTGGGATTATAGGTATGTAGAGTTAGTACAGTATTCAACATACACAGTTGACAAATTTAAGATGAGGTCACATTAATAATAACCTCTGGCATTTTCATATAACTTTAAAGTTTGAGTCTCTTATAAAATATTAGTTCATCTTCTTCTCACCATCATCTTTCACAGTATTCTTATCACAATTTTTCTAAGAAGTAGACATAGTGCTAAAGTGATTTGACCTATTAATAAATAGGTTGTAATAAATAGATAATAGAGAGGTAGGTAGGTAATAAAATAACTAGGTTTTTCAGACACTTGGTGCAGTCAATATCAATTACTGTCATTTATGTGATATTAATCCTGTATAAATTCAAGTATGCTATCTCATCACATAACCACTGTAAGACAATAGACCATTATTGTCCTTGTTTTACAGATGAGCAACGTATGGATTGCTTCTATTTATGTTGCTTGGAATTTATATTTTTTATTAACTCAGGATATTTTTCAGTCCTCAAATATTGGTTCGTCCCTTTCTATTCTTTGTTTCTAGAAGTCATATCAAAGACTTATGGATATAGTTTATCACTCCTATCTCTTCTTTTTTAAAAATAGTTTTCTCTTTATCACTTCATACTGTATCATATGTTATTTCCTTTTCTTATTCACAAATTTTCTCTTCAACTGTGTTTAACATGTTCTTTAATATCTCGGTTTGGTTTACTAAATTTTTGCCTTGTTTTTCATTGAGTAATAATTTATATACAATAATATATTAAAATGATTGCAGTATAAGTATATACTTAATGAGGTTTTTTTCATTTTTTTTTTTTGTAACAGATTGAACCCGGGGGTACTCAACCACTGAGCCATACATCCAGCCCCTTTTATTTATTTTTTAAATTTTGAGATAGGGTCTTGCTTAGTTGCTGAGGCTTTGAATCCATGACCCTCGTGCCTCAGCCTCCTGAGCTGTTGAGATTACAGGTGTGTGCCACTACACCCAACATTTTGAGTTTTGACAAATATGCTAATGTGGGTAACCGTTACCCTAAAGTTCTCTTCAGGTTGGTTGAATTCAGTCTGTCTACCTCCTATCCCTGGCCCAAGACAACCCCTTGCCTGCCTTCTGTCATAAAAGATACACTTTTATTTCGCTATTCAAGAATTTCTTATAAATGAAAAACATATGCTTCTTTCAGCAGAATGGTTTTTGAATCTGACTCATGTTGTATCATCAGTAGTTGTTTTGTTTAATGTCGAATGTTATCCATTGTGTGAATATCCCATCATTTGCATCAGCTGACATGTTAATGGACGTCTGGGTGGTTCACAGTTTTCTGTCATTATGAATAAAACTGCCATGAATGCTTGTGAACAAGAGTTTTCATAGACATATATTCTCATTTTGGTTGGATAAAAACCTAGGAGTAGAACTGCTAGGTCATGTGGTAAATGCATATTTAACTGTTAAACTGCCAAAATGTTTGCCAAAATGCTTGTACCGTTTTGCATTCTCACAGGCAAAACTCTAGTTGTTCCACATCTTGTCAACATTTGGTACTATCTCACAATTCAATATTATAGTGGGTTTATGACAAACTTTGTCACCTCCAAGTAGTAAAAATAAGTGAAGATACCCACATCCTCTCCCTGGAAGTTGTAAATATATTACATTATGGGGACTTAACAGATGTGATTCAAGTTAAGGGCCTACCTTGACATGGAGAGATTATACTGAATTACCAGTTGGGTCCACAAGAGTTCTTAAAAGTAGAAAATCTTTCCTGTCTGAGGTTCAGTGGTGTTTAACATGCTCTTTAATACATAAGTTTGGTTTACTAAATTTGCCTTGTTTATTGTATATTCAAAATAATTTCACTGAGTTTTAATTTATACACAGTAATATATTAAAATGATTTCAGCTTAAGTATTCAGTTAATGAGGTTTTTTGTTTGTTTTTTAAATATCTAAGGTTTCTAAAAAATCTTTATTATTTATTTATTTATTTTTATGTGGTGCTGAGGATTGAACTCTGTGCCTCTTATGTTTGAGGCAAGTGCTCTGCCACTGAGCTACAACCCCAGTCCTTGTTTGTTTGTGTTTTTGTAACAGGGATTGAACTCAGGAGTGCTCAACCACTGAGCCACACCCCCAGCCCTTTTCATTTATTTTTTAAATTTTGAGACAGAGTCTTGCTAAGTTGCTGAGGCTGGCTTTGAACCTGTGATCCTCCTACTTCAGCCTCCTGAGCCATTGAGATTACAGGTGTGTGTCACCAAACCCAACATTTTGAAAAAAAATGATAAGAAAAGCAGGACTAGTAAGAAGCAGGATGGGGACTGGAGCAGTTATAGCTGGTTTTGAAGATGGAGGAAAGAGACCATGGGTGTAGAAATGTGAATGGCCACAAGAGGTTAAATCAGGCAAGGAAGTGGATTCCCTTCCAAAGCATCCAGAAAAGAATACAAGCTTCCTCACACCTTGATTTCAGCTGAATGAGACCCATTCCAGACTTCTGATCCATAAAGCTAAAAAATAATGAACTTGTGCTTAACCATTCTGGGGGCTGGTAGCTGTTACTGTAGCAGAACAGGGGTATACTTGTGCAGGTACACAGCGTATTTCATTGTGGATTAAATTTCCACTTCCATGATGAGAAACAAAGTTGAGTCATCTTATTAGATATCTAAGTATCTCCTTTTATTAAGTACTTGTATAAATCTTGTACTCATTTTAATTAAGTGGTTCAGATTTTCATCTTTTTATATCATGAATACAATCCTTTAGTCAAATATATTTACAGCAATACTTTCTCTCAGCACAGCAATTATCTTTTTATTTTCTTTATGGTGTATTTCAAAGGGAAGTTTTAAATTTTGGTGATATCAATTCAAAATTTGTTGTTTTATTGGTGGTTTTTGTGTATGATGTCTAAGAAATATGTGCTAGCCCGTAAGTTTCAAATATTCTTCTGTTTTCTTCTAGAGCTTAGTAGTTTTATAGATGTTATGTTTATATTCATGGCCTTGTTAGTTATCTTTTGTGTATGGTGCAAAGGAAAAAAAAGAAGCCTGTTTTAGTCAAATCTCCATCACTGTGATCAAAATACATGACAAGAACAACTTAGAGGAGGACAAGTTTATTTAGGGCTCACAGTCTCAGAGGTCTCAATCCACAGATGGCCAACTCCATTGCTCTGGGCACAAGATGGAGGCAGCACATCATGGGGGAAGGGCCCAGCAAAGGAAGGCTATTCCACTCATGTTGAGATCATCAAAAAGAGAGACAAAGAAAGGTGTTATGGTTTGGATTCAAGGTGTCCGCCCACTGTAAAGATTGCATGTGAGACAATGCAAGAAGGTTTGCAGGAGAAATGATTGGGTTATAGCCTTAACCTAATCAGTGAATTAATCCCTGATAGGAATTAACTGAGTGGTAACTGAACTGGTGGGGTGTGGCTGCAGGAGATGGGAATTGGGGCATGGCTGTGGGGTACATATTTGTATCTGGCAAGTAGAGACCTCTATCTCTGTTTTCTGATCATCATGTGAGTTGCTTCCCTCTGCCACACTCTTCCACCTCAAAGTTCCGAGGAATGGAGCTGGCCTTCTATGAATTAAGATCTCCCAAACTGGAAGCCCTCAAATAAACCTTTCTTGCCCTAAAATTGTTCTGGTCAGATCCTTTTAGTCACAACATTGAAAAATCTGACTAAAACAAGAGAGAAGGAAAGGGGCATCCTTCCTTCTAGGGCATACATCAGTGACCCACCTCCTCTAGCCACACCCCATATGCCTACAGTTACCACTAATCAGTTCATTTAAAGGAGGATATACTGATTAGGTTACAGCTCTCACAATCCAATAATTTCACCTCTGAAAATTCCTGTAGACACACAGGAGC